TTTCCAACATAATTTCCTTATCAACCAAAGTTTCTTTAATTTCCAATTGTCTCAAAACAAACTCCCTTTCTGCAACTCTAGATTCCCTATCTCTTACCCGTTCTTCCCTAATCAATGCTCTTTCCTCTGCAACAAAATTTGTCAACTCCTCTCCTTCCAATCCTATCTCTCTACCTAATCTAATAATACCATCAAAATCCATCCTCAAATAATAAACTTGTAAATTATAACTTTAAAATGTCAAATATCAAAGTCGAAATTGTCTTGACATGTAATACAGTGTCCATTATATACGGGGCTACTACACATCAAATGAGATCTTAATTAGAACATAACATATTGAACAAATCACATCAATCTATGAATTCAAAAATCTAGTGTCAAATACATTAAATATTCCCTACATATTAATACTATAACATTACAAACATATACCAGTACTGGATTTTAAATTATTAACCCTTCCGTAAGATAAAACTTCAGTACGAAACATCCCACTTCTGACACCAAATTGTCACAGGATGGATGGACGGAATGCTTCGCACATTAGAATCACCCCAAAGAAGACTCAATAATAAGAGATATAAATTAACAAATTTACTTAGCCGGCAACAACACATACATATTATACAAATTTAACAACAATAAACATAAAAATATACACAACCACCCCCCAATTTCAGTTCATGATCATCTTCTTCAGCTATCATGCTAATAAAAGTTCTCCCGTAAGATTTGTCCACCATCATAAGTACATTACGATCTCAGTTAGTAGTTAATCAAATGGCACATCCGTACACAATATTACACGCAACAGATATCAATACAGATTACAGGTTACACATAACTAATAACCACACACATAGGGATACAGATTACACCCTAACTAAAGGTTGGTCGTCTACAGTCGTGTCTCCATAATTCGTTACTAGTATGTCCGATAGACACAGAAATGCCTTGTTGCATCACCCCGACAACATTTCCAACACCATTAGATGAATACTAACTAATATAATTGTCATCCAGACTATTAGTACCATTTTATAAGTTACCATAGAACTATACTATTATCAGCTATCAACTATCGACCATTTTCATTATGTCACCCGAGACAAGTCGAAGTCTACATTACAAAAAGTAGAGCTGAGGAAACTAATGGATTTCAAGACATTTACGACTACGATGAAACGCTGAACGACCAGACCAACAACAAAAGTCTGATTAAATCAGAATGAGCCACGAAACTAAATACTTCAAGCCTTATATACCCTGTGTTACCAATGCACGTGCTAAGCCTGCTTTGAGACTATTAAAGTTACACGTCAATACATTTTCGATTAACCAGACCCCAAATTACTCACATAAATATACACTGTGATATAAGGTGTAAGGTGCGACAAACTATTGTAGGAGATGAATTATAAAGTTTCAGGATTTCTGGTGTCCTTCAACACGACGAACCCAAGCGAACCTCGACACTAGTAATCAAAACTAAAGCTCGAAAAAGACTCAATGCGGCGGATGATATCCGTAGGATTTGTCGACACTGTTTCTACATTTGGACTATTGGTGCAAGGAAAACAACAAAGCCTAATCCTACTGAGCATCTTATTGCTTATTTGATTAGTATGTTATCATATGAGTGATTATTATGAATGAAAAATCATAACATTTGCAATGTTTTGATTGTCATGAGGCATTGTCTTTCGAAATGCGTTCAGTCTGTAGCTTGTAAATACTCGAGGAGGCACAATTCTTAACTCGTCTCAAAACACCCTAACAATATAACTTGTTCTTTAGCTAGTAAATGTAAAAGGCACAATTATTGATAAATTTACATAAAACTTCATAAAAAACATTTAGAAACCTCATTAAAAGTGTTACAAAATATGTAATTGGTTATTTTCCTTGTTTTTTGAAAAGCGTTCTATTTCAAGCCTGAATACACTCTTACAGTTCGTGGCAGATTGGGACGGAATTATTAATTTTCTCTTAATTTACTTTTCTGTTTCACTTGGAGAAGAGCCGTGTACAAAACGAAAAAAAAGAACGTTTGGAAGAAGTGTTTGGCTAAGGGTTGAGCATAATGAACTGCGGTTCTGCCAAATGTTTACCATCGCCCAAGGATGAATCCTACTAAAACAAAAATGGGAAATTTCAATATGAGGTATTGCTCTCGTTTTTCGAAATTTAATTTAAACAAAGCTGACAAATGTTACATTGCCTGAAAAACTATCTTAGACTCGACTGACTCACTCTTTTGAACTGAAAGATTTGTTTGTTTCCAGATGTCAGAAAAGATATAGTATTGATAGTGTTTAATTACGTAGTACGCAGTCTAGGTCAGTAATAATACATATATTGATAGTGCCTGATTGTAGTATGTAGTCTAGGTCAGTAATAATACATATATTGGTAGCGTCTCATTGTAAAATGTAGTCTAGGTCATTAATGATACATATATTGGTAGTGTCTGATTGTAGTATGTAGTCTAGATCTGTAATGTGACAGATATTTAGAGCGTAAGTCTGTAGTAGAGTTTAGTAATAATACATATTAAATTGATAGTGTTTGACTGTAGTATTAGTCTATATCTGTATCATTACTTACCTCTACTTCATACTACAGTCAAACACTATCAATATCTGTATCATTACTGGCCTCTACTACAAACTACAGTTAAACAATAACAATATCTGTATCATTATTAGCCTCTACTACAGACTACAGTCAAAAACTATCAATATCTGTATCATTTCGGATCTCTACTACATTCAACAGTCAAACACTCTCAATATCTGTATTATTTCTGATCTCTACTACATACTAGAGTCAAACACTATCAATATCTGTATCATTTCTGGCCTCTACTACACACTACAGTCACATACTATGAAGATCTGTATCATTACTAAACTCTACTACATACTACAGTCAAACACTATCAGTATCTGTATCATTACTAACCTTGACTACATACTACAGTCAAACACTATCAATATCTGTATCATTACCGACCTCTACTACAAACTACAGTTAAACACTATCAATATCTGTATCATTATTAACATCTACTACAAACTACAGTTAAACACTGTCAATATCTGTATCATTACCGACCTCTACTACAAACTACAGTTAAACACTATCAATATCTGTATCATTATTAACACCTACTACAAACTACAGTTAAACACTGTCAATATCTGTATCATTAATTACTGACCTAGACAATATACTACAGTCAAACACTATCAATATCTGTATTTTTACTGACTACGTACTAATCAAACACTATCAATGTATGTATCATTACTGACCACTACTACATACTACAATTAAGATATAATTTTTCACATCATTGTTAGCGTTATTTATCACCTAAATATATATTTTTGCATTTTTTCTTCATAACTTTCATCTTACTTTATATATCCCCAAACCCAGTTTGAGTTATTTGCATAATTTGATACCCACATTTTCACGCTAGCATATACAGTTTCCTCCTGTTACATCCGCTGTACATTCCCTTCTAACCTCAAGTTATTTTCATTATGCTCCCCAACTACAACAACCACTGGCAAGAAGCCAGACATAGAAACACTAATCGTCAACCAAACCAATATCACGTACCTACAACGGCCTTGTCTTCCATCGACCTCTACCACCTACCAATCGCCGACCACCAACCAACCCATCCAGCTATATTCCAACCCATCGCCGACCAATCAAGAGGTAACCATCGACCTGACCAACAACAGAAACGACTACCAGCCCACCGACGCCAACCAGCCTCCACTCATAAGGAGGAAGAACCCTTTGTGAAGGTGTTTTGCAGTGCCTCCATCATTTGGCAATCCTTACCCTTCAACAGCAAGGCCAACCAGCGTTTACCTTCAAACGCAAAGTCTCTGAGTTGGATAGTTTTATCCGTCCAGCAATGAAAACATCAGCTGTTGACGCGAATATTAGATCCCTCAATCGGACATGGCTCTCTCAGGTTACGCAGGTCCTGATCGACCATTACCAAACCACACTTCAAGAGAAGCTGACCACCATTCGTACCAAGTCTTTATCATCACCTGCCGTCGACCGCATCGTTTCTCATGCCCTGTCCTGGGCCCGTCGCTCCTATGGGAAACGTCTCACTCAAGCTGTAATCACCAAGTTCTACCAAACAATCAACGAAACAAAAACCAGAGTCACCATATCTCTACCAACTGAAATGAACACTGCACCTGCACCATTTAGAGCCACCACGCTGCCGAACCAAACCCCTAAACGAGCCCGAAGTTCGCCTACTCCTAGTCCAGCAGACATAGGTAAACGCTCTCGTAGAGAGGGCACTCCCCTTCTCTTTTCACTTTCAGACTCGTCTTCCCCTTCCACACAATCTGAATCTTCACCACGTGATCCAGGATCCGCCAACCTTTCTTCCTTCTGTGCGTTTTTGGACCAGCAAACCACCCCTCAGTCTCCATCCAAGTCGAGACGTGTATCCAGACCCCCCCCCCCCCCTCGAACCAGATCCCAGTCCGTTCCCAATGCTACAATTCTAACAACTACCAAACCAGTACCAATCACACCGTCGACGACCATTATATCCGCTACCAAACCGTATTATCACCAAACCAAGGACAAATCATTATGGAAGCTACCAGCTCTAAAGAAATCTACCTTAATAATTGGATCATCTAACCTGAATCGAATTACCAAAACCAGTTCAGATACTGAAATACATTCTTACCCCGGTGCCCAAATCCATCACATACAGTCAATCCTGGAATCATACGACCATGATCCCAAACCTACTACCATTATTCTTCATGTAGGCCTCAACAACCGTGATCAGCTACCAAAGACCTCCTTTAACCAAGCCCAGAAATTAATCAGCCACAGCCAACAAAACCTTCCCAAACTCCAAGATCCTCTTCACATGTATACCCATTTCAAATAAAATCTCGAAGAAAGCACAACAGAACCTCAGCACTCTCAACAACATGATGATGGAGTCCAGTATCAACAGCACAACAATCTTACCACCCTACGAAGAAGAATTCGAACCAGTTGATAATCTTCATTGGTCTCCAGAAACAGCAAACAGCATTTATTTGTTTTGGATACACCAGCTTCAAGCATCGAGTAAGTCTTTAAACTAATTACTGGGGATATAAATACTGAGAGGCCACCGCTAGGCCAAACTGTAGTTAACTTGAGCCGCAAAATTCTCACACCCCTTCAGCATTCAATCTTAGACCGTGGACTTAAATGTATTCCCACACCAAAGATAGCTAACTTGAATTATCTCCGACCATCCATTGAACGATTTCAACGAAATCTTAGCTGCACATATTTTTTTCGAAACCACCCCCACGTGGTGCTAGAACAATGTTTATTCCTAAATCCACTTAAGAAAGACGATAGCATTGTTATTAAAAAGAGTGACAAAGGTTCATGTTGTGTCATTCTGAATAGGGAGGATTACGTTTCAGAAGCAGAGAATCAACTGAATAATCCTAAACATTATGCAAATTTAACGAAACCAATTTTCAAAGGAACTGCTAACATGATTAATAATATTCTTGCCGATTTAGTCTAGTTATCTCAAATAGAAACAATATGACTATCTGTCTGCCAAACCTGATTGTCGCGAGAGACATTTGTACACTTTGCCTAAAATCCATAAGAATCCAACCAAGGAATGGTTTATCTGGAATAAAATCCCTAAAGGCCGCCCGATGATATCTGACTGTGGTAGTGAGTCATATGCAGTGTCAGAATACATTGATCATTTCTTACTACCTCTAGCATGTCAACATCGCGCCTACCTTAAAGACACAACCGATTTTGTCAATAAAATAAAAAATCTTCGAGTTCCCTCTAATGCTATTTTAATTTCTATCGACGTTTCTTCTATGCATACTAATATCGATAACACTACTGGTTCAACGGCAGTTCGTAAAGCTTTTAATAGAAACCCAGATCCAAACAGACCTGACAATGCAATTCTACAGCTTTTAGAGATTTGTCTTAGTCGAAACGATTTCACATTTAATGGTAAAACATATTTACAAACTTCAGGGACAGCAATGGGCAAACGATTCGCCCCTTCCTACGCAAACCTTTTCATGGCAGAGTGGGAACGTGAGGTGTTGCCCCTCTGTCACGCTTTTTATGGTTTGGACTTATTCTATCGAACAGTTTTGGGAATTCTTTGAAATTCTCAACAAACACCATCCTTCTATCAAACTAACCGCAAACGTGAGTAACAAAAGCATAGACTTTCTCGATACCACAGTCTTTAAGGGAGATTCCATAGCAGAAACAAATAAACTGGATATTAAAGTGTATTGTGTTATTTTATTATTTCATTTCATAAAATAATTAATTACCAAATGTGGAGAAATCCGCTCTCCTGCGTTGGAGTTCATTTTAGTTTGAATGGCGCCGCAGCAAAACGTGTTCAATTTTTTTTTTTTCAAGTATATTTTCTTATTTCTACGATAGATTATTTAATGAGCTATTTGCCGCAGATGACAACTACTCCATTGTCGGCTGATTCTACACAGAATTTACGTTCTAAACCGATGGAAACTACCATCAACGAAATACAAGCCGCTGCCGGTGCCATTCCTAAAAAGGTTCGTAAAATGACTCAAGCAGAATTGATTGAGCAAATCGCTGAATTACAGGAAAACATTGATACGAGATTATCAAAACTTGAGCTTTCACACCAGCCCCCCAGATTGACATCAACGGTACCTTGCAATAAATCTACACCAAAGCCCTCCACAGCACCTATGAATATGATGATGGAAGATAGGCCTACTACTGAAGTTACAATTAGAAATCTACAGGCAATTCCAGAAGTCAAATCATCTTTAGCTGCTCAACTAGACTCGATGCCAATAATTGGTCATGCTGATACCAGAATTTTACCTGATAGGCCTAATCCTAACGAGTTTTACAGAAGTAGTGCAGCCAGTTTAGGCCTATTACAAGATCACGATACCGCGGTGCCAGGTAAGCCTAGAAAAAAATCTGGCATGGACCTGGAAAGTCAGGAAAATATAGTCAATACTGTTTATTGGCCTCATGCTTTTACAAGTGAAATTGCTCATATTGTCAAGAACAGAAAAGCTCAGATTATTTCGCAAGAGGCGTTTATTTTAGGCGCTGTTAATATTCTAATGCAACCAGATACTATTGTGCCCTTACCAGAAAAACTTGCTAGACTGAAACTATTACATGGTATTGAAGTTGGTTCCCATACTTGGACTTCATCATTTGAAAATTTGTCTCATTTCACAGCAGTTAATGACACTAATTCTACTGTCAGCTCAAACAGTTTTAACAGTGCTAAGATTAAGCAATCGAGTAATGCTAATAGCAATACCCCAAGAATTCAGAACATTATATGCTACAGCTACAATTATGACAAGAATGTGGATACTGAGTGTGCTTTCTCACGTGATGGTAAGCAATGTCAAAAGATTCATGTGTGTTTAGCGTGTGCAAAAAATGGATATACAAATAAGCATCCAGAAAAACTATGTGAGAAATCAAAATCTAACAATAGCAGTTCTGGTAATTGACATAACTTGGGTACAGAGCTTTTACAAACAATGAGCCCCTATGAAGTTGAGCTAATTAACCTAGATGCGCCTAATTCTGAGCTTTATAATTCTGAGCCTAACATTCATGAGCTTGATAACCTGGAGCCGAATATTGAGCATAAACTTTCTGCTGTCAAAAATACTGAGCTGCCTGCTTCTGAGCCTGATTCCAATGTTGAAGATATTCACTGGCAAGTGTTTAACTCTGGTCAATATAACTATCAAGGAGTGAGAATACCTGTACATACTAACTTGAATATTTCAGCTTGGCAAGACAAACTAGCTTATTACTCGGATAATAAGTTATGTGATTTCTTAACCTATTGATGGCCTGTGAATTTTTCATATGAATATTTGCCATCAAGGATTTTTGATAATCATCCATCTGCTTATGACTTTTGTGATGCAGTGGATGATTATATCGTTACAGAGTTATCTCACAATGCTGTAGCTGGTCCATTTATTGATAGGCCTTTTAATGGAAGACTAGTTACTTCACCTCTGCAAACAGTTTGCAAAGATAGTGTTAATACTTTAAAACGACGGGTTGTAATTGATCTCAGTTTTCCTTTAGAAAATTCTATCAACTCTCGCATAAACCGTGATAGTTACCTAGGAACTCCCTTCGCACTTACATATGCAACTGTAGACACTTTAGCCCAATTAATTCATACTAAAGGCCAGGGTTGTTACTTGTATAAATTAGACTTGTGTCGCGCTTATAGACAGTTACCTGTAGATCCATATGATTATTGTTTATTGGCATATCATTGGAAAAATAGATATTATGTGGATACAAAACTGCCCTTTGGTCTTGCTTCTGCTGCAATGGCATGTCAGCGCACCACTAATGCTATTTCTTATATGTTCAATCAATTGAACCATGAGCTTGTAAATTATTTGGATGATTTTGCCTCTGCTGAGCGTACAGAACTTGAAGCAATCAATTCGTTTAACCAATTAAGGGAACTTTTGAGTGAGCTTGGTATTCAGGAATCTGTTAATAAAGCTGTCCGTCCTACTCAGCATATGACATTTTTAGGTGTATTGTTTAAAACTGATTCTATGACCATAGAGGTCACCCCTGAACGCTTAAAAGCCTGTGTACTAGACTTAGATAATTGGCTTGCAAAAGATTCAGCTACAAAGCGTGAAATTCAGTGTTTAATAGGCAAGTTACAATTTGTTGCTAAATGTGTAAAACCGGGTAGAATTTTCATATCACGTATGTTAGACACACTCGGGTCTTTACCCTATCAAAATAGCAAGACCTTATTGGATATAGATTTTAAAGCAGATTTGAATTGGTGGAGAAAATTCCTTAATACTTATAATGGAATTTCTGTATTGGGGGATGTTTTATTTTCCGAACCAGGTGCTGTGTTTGTGACTGATGCCTGTTTAGTGTCTTGTGGTGGATTTTGTGACAATCTTTGTTTTTCCACGAAATTTCCAGCTCATATCTTGGATAGGAACTATAGTATTAATATTCTAGAATTACTGACAGTATTAGTAGCTGCTAAGCTTTGGGGTCATAGATGGCAAGGTCTTAGGATCCTTGTGAAATGTGATAATATGACTTCTACAATTGTGATCAATACTGGTAGATCACATAACCAAATACTAACTAAATGTGCCAGAGAACTTTTGTGTATTGCTGCATGTTATAATTTTGATATCAGGGCTGTGCATATTGCTGGGAAACTCAATTATATTGCTGATCAATTGAGTAGAGGATATAGTGCTAAAGTATTGAAAGATAACCCTTCTTTCATTTTGCATGATTGTCCTGATTCCTGGTTTGATTTTACTCATGATTGGTAGCTAACTTTGCATTAATGGATATTGGTTATTCTATTTGCAGATCAAACCCGGATTCAGTGGCAATTGTTGCAGCATGAAACTAGATTAACTCAGAGACAAGCTTATTCATCTGGCACTTTACAGAACATAAAAGCTCATTGGAAGGCTTACTTATCTTTTTGCAATTTTTTCAATTTGAATAGTGTACCTATTAATCCACAAGATTTAGCCTGTTTTATTTGTTTTATGTCAAGATCGTGTTATTCTTTCCAATATTTATCATCAGTCGTTAGTAGTGTTAAATTATTACATCAGTGCTATGGTTTCGATATAGAACCAACACAATTTTTGCAAATCAAGTCCATACTTAATGGACTACGTCGATCAGTTTGTATTGCACCCATTCAGAAGTTACCTGTTACACCAACTATCCTATTAGAAATTTATTCTGTATTAGATTTATCCAAGCCTTTTTATATGGTCTGTTGGACTTTGTTTTTAGTCGCTTTTTTCTCCTTTTTACGTAAGTCCAATCTCATTCCAGACACACTTAAGCATGCGAAAGAGAGCACAGCACATTTTCTGCGTAGAGAAGCCATAATTTTATTGTCGGAAGCAGCCTTATTAATCATTCGTTCTTCCAAAACCGACAATTTTCAGGAACAACAAGTTATTGTGCCACTTAGTGCCATGCCCAATAATATTTTATGCCCAGTTTCTGCTTTACATGTGATGTTTTCTCAAATTTCAGCTGAGTTTGATTCCCCTGTATTTGTTTATCCTAGTGGTACTGGATCCTTGCTCCCTTTAACTTATAATATTACTTTGAAAGTTTTTAAGTTATTGCTTAAGAGACTGGGTTATAACCCAGCTTTATATTCATTGCATAGCTTTAGACGGGGTGGTTGTACTTATGCTCATTCAATTGGAGTCGATTTGGAATCTATTCGCATTCATGGCAGTTGGCGTTCTAATGCTTTCCAGCAGTACATAAAACCTGATTTGCAGCAGCAATTACAAGTTACCTCCCTTATGCTTAAAATGTGTTGTTAAATTGTTATATGTTGTCAGCTAACAATTTTTTCAAGAGTCAAAGTTATTAATCTTTATTTTTTCACATCATTACAAGTGGTTTGGGGTTTGTTTGGCCTTTTTTCTAATATCTTAGCATATAAAATATGATTTGTCTTAGTATGGAAGTTAACATACAATTCATTTAGTTATTACATTGCAATAAATTATTTGCCCCAAACCACTTGTCTTTATTACAACATCTCAATTATTATATGGTATATCTATATGCTACATTATTTGTCAGATGACGACTTTAGAGTAATTGTGTTATTTTATTATTTCATTTCATAAAATAATTAATTACCAAATGTGGAGAAATCCGCTCTCCTGCGTTGGAGTTCATTAAAGTGTATTTCAAAGAAACTGATACTCATCAACTCTTGCACAAGAGCTCCTTTCACCCAAAACATACCTTTTCTGGTATAATTAAGTCACAAGTTTTACGATTTCATCGAATTTGTACAAGATCTTCTGATTTCAACCAAGCCTGTACGATTGTTTTCTCAAAACTGAAAGAGCGTTGGTACTCTGAACGATTTTTACGAAACATAAAAAATTCCACCTTAGCACAAATAGCAGCTAAAAACAGACTTTATGCCGAAGTACCCCCAGGTTTAAGAAGTGCTCCATGTTTGTCCAGTAGATGCAAAACATGTCCCTTTATATCAGAAACTCATTATTTTGTAAGCAACTCTACGAATAAAAGGTACCCGATCCAGGAACATCTTACA